AAAAATTTTGATTAGAACCCCCCCCCCCCCCTTTCCTAACAGATAGTTCAGGAGCGACGCAAAAATTTGAGTTCATTTTTAATGAATTTACCCAAATCAAAAATTGTTAATGCTACATATATATATGTATGTATAACTATATTGATTAAAGGATATATTGTCATATATCTATGTTTTACTATTTTCCAAAATATGTTTATTTTTGTAGTTCGTGGCCGTCATGGGCGGAAAAAGGGCAGGGGGCTGTCCATAAAGTACGTCACGCTATTTTTGACCATTTTAACCACCCCTCCCCCTGACACAAACTGTCACAAACCCGGAACCCCCCCCCCCCCCCTAAAGTACGTCACACTTTCGAACAAATAAAAAAAAAAATTAACACCTAATTAAAATTTAATCTGAAACACATTTTACTATTAAACTGTATTAAAATATACAATTTCCACTTAAAAGAACTATAACATTATTAAAATGACTTTAATAGTAGAATAGTTGATTGTCAACAGTTGTCACAGTTATTCATTGAAGCAGTAACTCAATCTAGATTGACTTTGAAAACAAAAATTGCAAAAATTAGACTAGACAATTATATAATAGCCTACACATCATTTATCTGCTGCTTTTTCATTTACAATAGGTGAGGTCAATTTTTAGATAATCTTCCGATTATGCAATCTTTTGACACACCCAGTGATTAAATAATAAAAAGGAAACAAAACAATTTTGACTAAAAAAAGACTAGATTGACAAATTATGTGACAAACTCTTGTGCTATATTGAATCTGTTTATTATGGGCCTGTGAATCATGTTTAATTCAAAAATATTCAACGGACATCATCCATCCATGGTGAAGTGAAGTGTCATCCATAGTTACGACTGGCATCAATCTTTCACCATCATCGTTTCCTGGAAGGATAATTGCAGACAGATCAACTTCATCCTCATCTAGCCACTCAACATATCTCTGAATGTGCATTTTCTCTTCTGGCAATAACTGCCATGAGTTCTTTTTGCCTTCTAGCAGCGATTCTCAAAGGACGGATGCGTTTTATCTGAGTTGATTCTGGAACAGTTTGAGCTGACACCTTCTCCCGAGCCCCAGCTCTCTGTGTTGTCCTGCATGTTTCTTCAACATTGTTTGTGAGGCAAAGTAGGCTATAAGTGAAATACTTTGCAAATTCGATCAAGTAAGCTGGTCTGCAAAGATGGACAATAAAGATCATATGGTTGTACTTCGAAAACTCCTGTTGATCTCGCAAGGCTATACATAAAACAAGGCTTCGCAATAGCATACCAGCGCTCTTAGATAAGGAATCGTGAACAACACATTCAGGAGATAAGCATTTCATGCTATTTTGACATAAAACTAATTGAAATGTTTCTACAAATTTTTGAAAATTATTTTTAAAGCTATTAAATTCTACTACAAAAAATAAATTAGAAATAAATTTTAAAAAATAAATGTGTGACGTCACACATGGCCTGACCCCCCTCCCCCTGTCACAAACTGTCACACTTTCTTACACCCCCCTCCCCCTGGAGCGTGACGTAGGCCTACTTTATGGACGGCCCCCAGGGTGGATAAATATTATGTAGAAGAAAAAAACAATTATCAAAACCCAATGCTGTTAAAAACATAAATATCTATAAATAGATAATTTAAATAAACCAAAATAAGGAAAGTCTGATTGACTATTTCAAGTAAATACATTTCATGGACGTGTTAAGTGTCTTATTTTTTCTTAGGAAGCAATACTAGACTAATACGGTCAATACGTTTTGACTCAAAAGCCCGATTCAGTTATATATTTTAAAATTGATTTTTTAGGCGTTGAGACTTCCCAATAGTCAATAGCAGCTTGAAATTAGCGCAATATCTCTTCCATGGTTCCTAATTTCTAGTATAATAATATTTGTTTTAAATGTAGATACTTAAAGAAAAAATATTTTCAAAGCATTGTTTTCCTTTTACACCGGTTTATATTTAACTCTTTTGATTGAAGAGTGATTTGTAGCTTGATAGGCCTACTTATTTTAGTTCTATTGCGTGTGCACTACGACTTCAATTCGTTTTATGATTAAGTCTGTTTCTTGCATTCACTTATCAATAATATTTGATGATAAGTTTTAACAATGTCTCTAGCCGATGAATTGCTAGCAGATTTGGAAGAGGGGGGTGAGGAGCTTGATACGATAGAGGAAGGCGATGAAACTGCCATTAATGATGTTGACGATATTATGGAAATAGATCGGCAGGGTTCAACTTTAAATGTGAGACATGTTGCCAAACTGAAAGACAGCCCTGAACTTCAGAAGATTCTGAAAGATATTGAAGAGTACTCAGCAAAACCAAAACGCAGTGCAATAGCTGGTCCAGTTGAGGTTGATCCAGAATACAAGTTAATTGTTGATGCCAATAATATGACTGTAGAAATTGATAATGAAATTAATGTAATTCACCAATTTACAAAAGACATCTATTCAAAACGATTTCCAGAATTAGAATCACTTGTCCCAATGCCTTTGGAGTATATTTGTACAGTTAAAGAGCTTGGAAATAACATTCTTGAAAGGTCAAAGAATAATGAAATTCTCCAAGATATCTTAACTCCTGCTACAATTATGGTTGTCAGTGTGACTGCTTCAACCACTCAAGGAGTTGAACTTTCAGAAAAAGATTTAGCCACAGTTATGGAAAGTTGTGAAATGGCTATTGAGCTAAATAAAAGCAAAACAAAGATTTTTGAATATGTTGAGTCAAGAATGACCTTTATTGCACCAAATTTGTCTATTATTGTTGGTGCCTCAATAGCAGCAAAGTTAATGGGGACAGCAGGTGGCTTGACAAATCTATCTAAAATGCCAGCCTGCAATTTAATGCTATTAGGAAGTCAAAAAAAGACACTGGCAGGCTTCTCAAGCACAAATATACTTCCACACACAGGTTTTATATATTACTGTGACATGGTACAGAAAATGCCACCTGACATGAGGCGAAAAACTGCAAGAGCAATTGCAGCCAAATGTACTTTAGCGGCTCGAGTAGATAGTTTCCATGAGAGTGTTGATGGTGTTGCTGGAGATAAATTTAGAGCTGAACTTGACACTAAAATGGATAAGATGACTGAGCCTCCACCTGTTAAGTTCTCAAAGCCCCTTCCAGCACCAATTGAGCAATCCAAGAAAAAGCGAGGTGGTAGAAGAGCTAGGAAAATGAAGGTAACTTTATATAAAATATTGTCATTGATGATTGTTTTTACTGGATTTAAGTTTGTGGTTAATTGAGTTACCTCTCTTAATTTTAGAAATAACGTTAATACTTCAATGCATTATTTTTCTGTGTCAGAACTTGTAAAATAGCGGTATTGAAATTTTGACCTGTGTCTAGAAGTATTAACTTTGAAGCAAATTACTTTATTTTAGATTAGTCTTACATAAATTATACTATGGGTGCCATTTTATTTTGAATGACACTATAATAACTATAATTTGTTTATTCAAATCTTTCAAAACTTTTTTTTTTATACATCGCATCAGTTTTTTTTCCTAAAATTCTGGACTGTTTGAAAACCACTGCTATAGCACTATATAAAGATATTCTTAAAAGACCAATAAACATTATTTTACAATTTTTACTTCAGGAAAGACTGGGTCTTACTGAGCTCCGAAAACAAGCCAATCGAATGAACTTTGGTCAAATTGAGGATGATGCATATCAAGAAGACCTTGGATTCTCAATGGGAACTATGGGTAAATCAAGTTCAGGAAAGATCAGAGGAGCACCAGTGGATGCCAAAACAAAAGCAAGAATTTCTAAGACGTTGCAGCAGAAGTTGAGCAAACAGAATCAAACCTGGGGTGGAAGCACAACAGTTAAAAAAACGGTATAGCTTGCTTAGCTAGCTTTATATCATTAAAAAATACTATTGATTGGAAGATGTATTGATAAACCAATTTAAAATATAAATACAAATTTGAAAAAATTGAAACAAGATAGAGGTTGATCAAGCATCATTAAAAATAAATACTAATTACATTAGCTATATTAACAGGGCTACATTTATTATTTTTTAAAATAAATGCTATTTAATAATGCAGTGCTATAATTCTGTTTAAAAAAAAAAAAAAATTTGTGTAGGAAATCTAAACAATTTTTTTTACTGAGGAACCTTTTTCTTGCTTGAGAGTAAAAAATAACCCTATAGTTTTGTAAGCTTTCAAATTATCTAATTTAAAGAATGTTCATTCCACAAGTTATTAAGCTACAATTTAAATTTAATATTTTATTTTGTAGGTCGAAGGAACTGCATCCAGTGTAGCCTTTACCCCGCTAAAAAACCTGGAGATTTTCAACCCCCATGCAGCAGAAACAAAGGTTCAGCAGACAACACAGAGATATTTCTCATCTACTGGGTCATTCTTGAAGGTGAAAAAAGAAGCTGGAAAAATGGGTCCACCTGCTCCTTCAGGATCAAAGTAATATACAAGGAAATTGTGTTAATTTTTTTCTATTTCAACATCTCAACCAAAATAAAAAGAAAAGAAAACAGTAGCATTCCCATGTCTGCAAATACTTTTTTGATTAATGCTTATCCATCAGTTTAAATGGTAACTCACTCTTATCTTCTAAAAAGAAAGTCAACAAAGCTTAAAATTTGACAGATATATTAAACCTTAACTACTTGCTTTCTGTTGAAAATTTATAAATGTGCCATCAATATACACACCTCTCCTCATTTCCCGTAGTATATATTAAAACCATTTAAGTGTAAACCTAATGCATTGCCAAAAAAAAAGAAGATATTTTTGAAGCATTGAAATCCTTACATTTATCTTGTTAAAAATTTCCCTGCCCGTGACATTAGTAATATTTTTTTATCAAATAATAAACTTTAAGTTGTACAACTAGGTAAAGTTTTGACTAAAGTCTATTTTTTAAAACTACTTCTTTACTCTAAAATTAAAAAAATTAAAATGTGTTTGTCTATTCTTTCTTGAGAATAAGAAAAATGAAAACATTACAAACCACAAGAAAATTTGTGAACTGTTTGTTGCAATTAGGACAGCAGAATGTTCAGATCCTATGAGTATTTTAAGTTTTGCACTTGTAATTGTATGCATTAGTTAAGAAATCTTCCAATCCAACAAGCCCCTCAGTGCTTACATAAAATATGATAAAATATTGATAACTGAAAATATAATTTGGAACAAATGCCTCAATTTATGTAAGCATTGCGAAAAGAATTTTCATGTTCTGTACACTTAAATGTGTTGGCACAATTTTAAGCAAATATTGATGATTTGTATAACACGTTATTGTATTGAAATTTAGTAGATGAATAAAATTCATATTACTATTAACATTGTAGTCTTAGTTCTGAAATTCTGTTATGTGCATGTTTTCTCAAAAAAAAAAACAACAACATTAATTCATTAATAATATAATTCATTATTATTGTAAGTATTGTAAGATTTTAAAAAGAAGCCATTAAAAAATTCTTTTCAGGAACTAAAATTTAACCGAATGAAACTTTAAATAACCATTAGATCAATTTTCAGATTATATAGAGTTTTAAATTATTTTATTGATAAGATGAAAGTTGTCATTCTGGTTGATAAGAATATATTTTTAATAAGGCATAATATTATCAATACATTTTTTTAAAAAGATGGCACTCTAACAATTCTTAATATTCTTATAGGAAAAGAACATAGAAACATTTATTTAAATAATTACATCAGAGTATTTCATCAAGTTTTATTTTACATACACATCACAAATTATACTTAACAGTAAAACAACCACGCTGAAATCACTGACAAACTGTCAAATGAAATCTAACAATTTTAAGTGAAGAAAACTTATGACCAGACAGAAGCGTTTAAATGTCATGGAAATTTTCTGGCATGATGTGGTATAATTTTAAACGTCAGTGTTAACTAAAAGAGCTTGCTCTTGGCTGTTGGCAGCACCAACAACGGTACCATCAACCCCAATTAGATAAATCGGGTGTGAAGACTCGTCTTGGTCTTCAACATCGGCAATCTTATACTGCACCAGATTCCCGTGTTCGTCCCTGCTCATGTAGGTCTGACCTGGGCGAACAAGTTGGAGGACTTCACCCGTGTCTGTTATGTATTCCAAATTACTCAAGCTTCCCGTTGTCATCTCCTCGCTCATCATTTTCCCCTCTGATTCCTGGCAATCTATGCCGTCAATTTTATCCCCCACCAATACTTCTATCATAGGATGCTCAGAGTCTACTAAGTTTGATTGGAAGGGTGTGTTGGAAATGGAACAGAGCAGCTGGCTGGTTGAAGGGGAGAAAACATCACTTTGGGTATTTATCACACCGGATGGGATTAGAGAATTGTGGGAATCTGTATGTGTTTTGAGCAGGTCAGCTTCAGTTGACGTACCCAATAAGATTTCATGTGCAACTGAAAGATTTTGTGTTGAGAAGTCTGTCATTGCAGAGGGTGATGTTAAATTCAAGACAGAAGATGACATTAGAGAATTTGATGACAGTCCATTCTTTAGCTGATGGCCATTGTGAATTTTTGCAATATGCCTCTGTAGATGATGCTTCTGTCGGAAATTGTAGCCACATGTGGTGCATGAAAATTTCCCAATGGTTGTGTGACTGCGGACATGAGCTTTTCTCATTACGTCTGTTTTAAAACGCCATGTGCAACCAGGATGGGTGCAAGGATATGGTCTGTTGAAATCATGAACTTTCATGTGTTTGTTTAGAGTGGACTTGTCAATGTATGCATTGCCACAAACTTCGCATATGACTGAACCATTGGGATGAAGCTGACGATGAATGTGGATGGCTGCACTGCTGCTGGAAATGAAGTTACATTGAGGACAGTGGTAGCTCTTGGATTTGTGGCTGCGACGGTGTGCCACTAAAATGGCTTTAGTTTTGAAAGACTTCCCGCAATTATCACATAAATGTGTACGTTCAGTTCGATGAGTGGATTGGTGCCTACGCATGTATCGAAGCCTACTGAACATTTTATGACATACAGGACAGTGGTATTTCCCAGGTATGTCCTGCCGTTCAAGTTTTCTTATTCGTCTTTTAGGGGATTTTTGTTTCTGATTCCCTGCTAAATATTGGGACATTTTCATAACTCGAAATTCTTTAGATTTTCGCTCTTCAGAATTTAAATTGCAGTTATTTGGGGGTTCAATGTTACGAATGTCTAGGAATGTGTGAAACTCTAAAACATCTTTGTGAATATTTTTCATATGTTTCACCAGTGAGGGACGCCATGCTGTGGAAAAGGAACAGTGAAGGCATTTGAATTCTGTGCGCTCATATGTTAGTGAATTTCCTTTTATGTTCATGTTTCCCAAAAGAAAATAAAAATCGACAGAAGATAACTCTGCCTCCTCTTCAGTGGTCAAGGAAGCACTTAAAGTTGGTTTGCTCGTTGGGAGTTTCAGTTTTGATGATGGCTGGTTTAAATATGAATTGTTTGATCCTATAATTAGAAAACTGGCTTGCGAATGAGGGTTATTGATCTTTACTTCAGCAGGCCCTTTGATGCTATTGTCTTGAGTATTGAACTTAGTCTTGTCACAATCACTATCAATTATTTTATAGTGCATAGTCCCAGGCTCAGAGGAGGCCATTGCACCAGGGGTGGTAGACGTAAAAGGTATTTGCACTTCTGAACTATGGCTGAACTGATTTTGTGAGGTGAGACTGAAGTTTAGAGCCTCACAGAAATTGCGGGTGGCACTTAAATCCAGCGGGAGGGGTAGCAGAAATGTAGTTGCAGATCCCGAGTTATTGAGAAGAGCTGCAGCACCAGGAAGTGAGGTTTGTTCCGCTGTTTTAATGTTCTGCATGTTAAAACTTAAATCCGTTTGACTTGTATTTTGTTTATCTATTAAAATGGAGGTGGAAAGTAAATCTTTAACTAGACTGAATGAGGTCACAGATTCATTAATTGGATGAACAAGATTTTCTGTCGTGTAGATGGATTTATTGCATGGATTAGGACATGGTAAATTTCCTTCATTGAGCCGCTCAGGCACATGGGGACAATTCTCAGCATATATATTTCCTGACAATTCACTCTCAGTTAAAAGTTTTGATTCACAAAAAAAGCTGTCACAATTTTCTTTTATGTCACACTCAGTAACACAAACATCATTCTTAATCTCAATCAGTCCACCAGGAGTACTTTCCTTCCTCTGAGCTGTTGAGTCTAGAATAGAGTTTGTACCATTATTATTGTTACTTTGTATAAGGGATTGCTGCAAAGTACTAGCCTGAATCAAGTTTAAAATACCTTGTCTAAATACTGATGGGTTTTCATAAGTTTTCTTGTTGGTCTGGTGGTTCTCATCTGTGATGGTTGTACTACGATTAGAAATGGTATGAACTTGATTACATGACTTATCACAGTTAGCGTTTTCATTTCTTTCATAATCAGCTTCTAAGGTGAAATGAGCTGAAGTTTCAGCGTCATTAACTTGTCTATGATTTATAGTGATGTCTGAATTTTCCGCTATAGAGTCCTTTGGGTTTTCACAGAGGGAAATTTTAATCATTGAGTGAGATTGCCTTAGGTGTTCAATAGCCTTTCTTTCAGTGAACTGAAATTCTTTTTCACAGAGCAGACACTTAAACAAATCCTGCTGATTGTCTGGGGAAAAAAAATGTAAAACATTATTCAAATTATTTTTCCAGAAGGAGGAAAAGGGAATAATAGTTACTTTTTAGCAGGTGCCAACCCAGCTTAACAGTTTATCTAATAAATGGTTTATTTTATTTGTCACACTTGATTACAGCAAACATAAGATTAATTCTAAGAGAAATGGATATATTTAATATTCTTTATTATGATGAATGGACAAAAAAGAAAAAAAATCTCTTTTAAATGGTGATAATAACATGCGAATAATTATTACTGCATTGAACTTAAGGAAATAAAACAATTAAGCTATTTACATGGCTCTTGTGATTGTATGAATTTAAGTTTTCAGTAATTATATGATTGTCCCATTAGATGTTTAACGCACAAAAACATACCTAAAAATGTTTAAATGTGACAAAGCATCTGCTTCACATATTGGGATTAATCAACATCAAGGTAAAAAATACATGCTAAGTCCCCCAAATGTTTGAAAATAATACAAATTATGAAGGCACATTGTTAAGATTCTTTTACTCGACTGTGCAAGTGTTATCAATTTCCCAGCCCTTTCTCTCCATCCCAACAAACGTCCTTTTGAAAAATTTCCATATCTGACCATCCTTATTGCATTCAAAATATATATAGATAGGTCGAATTTCAGGCAGCTTTTGGCACTGGTGGTTACGTGTCATCAAAAACTAAGGGTTAGTTATTAATGTTCTTGCTTGAAATTTCAAGAATTCAGAAATTTCATTTTTAAAGATTACTATGAACTGCTGCAAAGGTTATATGGCTTTAAATATTACATCCCTGTAATACTAGGCTTAGATAAACTCATTATGGTTTTTACATTTTTTTCTGTAGCAACAATTTCTGAGATTGGTATTTGATACATTTGTGTTGATTTTTTCCTAGCATGGATGATTCAATGTGCTATTTTATTGCAGAGTGAGTTTTTAAAATATATGTAATTGATTTCTTAATACTTACGCTGAATTTTATGTTCTAAAAATTGTACAAGACTTTCAAAAGAATATAAGCATATTCCACATTTAAATTGGTCCAACTGTACTGCCATAGTTAAGCAATTCTGAAACATAATTTGCAATCAATAATTACTTTTTAAGTGTTTATGATTTGAATACTGATAATGAAAATTCAAAATGCTGGTTAGATTGAAACACTTAATGTTAAATAATCGTGACATCATTTATGGATGGCCCCGCAATTAAAGAAAAATTAATTTGTTTAATCATGGGTCATTAAAATTTGTAATTTTTTTAATCATGGGTCATTAAAGCTGTGCTTTTCAAGATCAGATTCAGAAATATCAACAGTCATCGTTCAGTTTGTGTTCTGTCATATTTTCTGTTAATTAATATTCTGCCCTTTTTATTAGCAAAGACACTTTGTTGAGAAGTAATAATGATTTTTTTTCCACTTTACCAATGATTTTTTAAAAATAAATAAATTATTTGACTGTTTGCTTGCAGTGGCTTAGCTAGGGGTTAGTGCCGCCTGGGGGTGAGCCAAGCTTTTTTGCAGCCCACTTCCACAAAGCAGCTTTCATTGATAAACCGTTTTAATAATTTTTTTACTTAACCTGCTATGCTAGACAGGGCGATTCAAGGGCACATGGACCAAACTTAATATTGTCAAAGTTATTTAGAAAATCAGACAAAAATAGTAAATAGGTGCTGAAAGTTGATAGGTAGTATTTTTCTGTTGCTTTCTGCAACAAAAAAAGCCTTGTTACTGGTGCAAACTATCACTATGACTATACTATGTCAACTATGTGACATAGTATAATAGTATGTCAATGTCAGTTAGGAATGTACAGAACAGAGACTTAAAAACATTGCATACTTAAGTCTTTTTTTAAGACTAAGATTTAATGTCAAATGAAAGACACAGGAGAGACTTCACTGACTCAACTACACACTAGACACTACTACTACTACTACCATCTAAAAAGTGTCTACAGTACTCTACACTACACTTGCCGCTTGCCGTAACTGTAACTTAGTGTAAGTCTACAACTGCTAACTAATACTAGTACTTGACTTAACAGACGGATCTTTTAATTAAATATTTAAATTATTTCTTTGTCATACGTGTGAAAGTATTATACCAGATCAAATGTGAGCATTGGTGCGGTATATACAGACCGACAACGAGACGACCAGACGGAGAGGTGGAAGAAGTAGAGGAGAAGTAAACAACACTGACACTGTCAACAGTAAAGATGAAGAAACATCAGAGGTCTTGATGAAAATGAATGAAATACATACTAACTAATAAATCAATCAAATCAGTAGGCCTACCTCAGTATTTATTAAAATATAAATAGCATTGGACAATTGGATATCTCATCGCTAAAATATAAAATATCATTCATTTAGTATGAATGAACTGTAAAATATCAGGAAATGGTTGAGAGTTAAATACCCTTCTTAAATGACGTCACAATTTTAACAAATACGATAAATAACTCTTTCTTCTATTTTTTACACAGTCTTCTCAAAACCTTTCAGGCTCCCCTATCTGGGATATGCTCAATAAAGTAAAAATGAATTGGAAAAATATATCTTTATTTATAAAGGCATATAATTTGATAGTTCTTCAAATGCAATTCTTCCGTCTAATTACTAATTTCAATAATTTGACGCTCAGCGAGGGAGATAATTCATTATGCGATTTCCAAGGAGGTCTATATTTATTGTCCTTTCCCCTTATTCAATGTTCTTTAAGGTAGAGTTTGCCAACCCTCGGCCATCGAGCCGCATGCACGATTAAAATTAATTTTGTGACCCATCAATTGCCAGCTGTATCACACATGTCTTAATTTGATAAAATAAGACAAGATAATATACTTTTATTGATACAAATAAACGGAAATTTGTTTTTCTATATTCATCGTAATCGTTCATATTTTTTTAAGTCTCGAAAATCCTTGCGTGAGTTTTTCGTTGTAAAAGGTTTAAAAATAGTCTGTAGCAATACTTTCGACGACTAATTTGTGTCGTAAGAATAACTGTTGAATTCTCGAGTTTGAGCAGTATGTAAGTATGAACAGGTTCGCACTTCTTTTCATTCTTGTTATATCCTCAAATTTGAGTTTTATCTTAATTATATATATATATATATATATATAAGATCG